AGGCTGTAAGTAGGCAGGGTTAGTGGTGTATATGTGGCTTTGACACTCGGTTAACTGACATTGTCGGTGTTGATTGCTAGGCACTTCAATTCAATTCTTGCAAACAGTTGGCTTAAGTTATCCTGTCTGATACTGAACATTCTCTCTACTTATTCTCAGCTTTTACCTTGTATATCTTCGGAGAGTGAAACCAGAAGAAACTGCCTAAGAAGCATTTATGCTCGTAAAGGCTACTAAATATAAAAATTCTACCATACCACCATATTTAGCACGGGTGGCGGTTTTTGTGTGAAGAGTCACACGTCAGAAAAGAGCTTATAAACCTTTTATATCAGTAGTAACTGAACTGCAAAGTCAGTATAAGCGAAGATTATTATTATTATTACATGTATTATCTATGATACTATCTACTTATACTTCTTTGTGTTCCCACCAACATTCTGTTTATAGTAGTGGTTTCATTATTAATATTATTCAAGTGTTGATTTGTAGGGATTTGATTGATTACAGGATTTCATTATGAGCTGGCATTAGTTAGAGAACCATTGGAAAACCAGCAGTGGAGTACTGGACAGCTGTTTCGTCCTAGTTTGGAAGTTTTCAGCAGTTCGCACCCACTAGGATTCTCACCCAATACCTCCTGGTTACAAGGCCTTGTAGGCCTTGGGTCAACTCATGATGAAATCCTGTAACCAATCCAATCCCTACAAACCAACATTTGAACGTTGTCCCAGTCGAATTGATGTCCGTGGTTGTCTGTATGCAGTGAGGCGATATAAGGGAGTGGATATCATGACATGACAGAAACCTCACATTCAAAGGGTCAAAGTTCAAGTCAAGGGAACAATCAGTTCCGAAAAAAGTAGCCTAGATGGTGTAAAAAACACACAAAAACAACCAATCACGACGTTTAAGGTCACCCACCAGGAGAGATGACTAATAAACTCGTGGAGAAATGTAAAAAGCTCACTTCATCAACAAATTGAAGTATGCACTGAAGTGAGGATGTTGCCTAGTAAGTAAGGCGATGAAAGCTTCGCAAGTATTAACTATCCAACTCAGAGAACACAACCACATCAACAACTAAAACTGTTCATAGGCTTTTCTCAACATAAACCAACATGATTATTGCATTAAATACTTTATTAAGTAAAGGAAGGCAAAATAAGTTATAATAATAGTGTAAAGCACTAAATTTGTAAATCTGGAAGAGATACCCTCTTAAACTAACATCAAAGGTCATAAACTGAAACGCTTATCACATGTGTATCCTTTCATATGTGTACTATGAATCGATCTCTTCACTTAATAGATATGTGTGTCAGTTAATTTTTTTTAAAACAAGTCACATGACCGAATGTCGAATTCAAGGTCGATGAAACGATCGATACCAATATAAATGTATTACAAAGATTGTAAAACCCTTTGAATATATCTATCTAATCACAGTCAAGGTTATAGGAAAAAAGTCATTTCGATATTTTAACACTTTAAAAAAAATTATCAATATCATTTTCTTAACTAACGTTTTGTTCGTATTCGATGGTAGAGAGCTATTGGCAGGTAGCCTTGGGCCTAGGTTTCGTGCTAGTTTGCACTCAATCAGCAAGCGGTATCTCTAGCCTCGAAGGAACTCATGTCCCTTCTGAGTGGTGGTGACGTCTCTGACTGTAGACGGAACTGGATGACGCTGGTTCGAATCTCAGAAGGGATATGAGTTCCTTCAAGGCAGTTGCAGATACCGCTTGCTGATGAGTGCCAACTAGCACGAAACCTAGGTCAGATGACGCTTGCTGTGGCCGATCGCCTCCAACCTCCACTTTGTAAACTCGATTGATAGAATTCAGCCTGCGCACCAAACACAGGAAACTACACACACACACACACATTACACTAGTTACTGACTAGAGTCCAATCAAAAATAACATTTCGTTCCTTTGATTAGTCACTAATGTGTCATACTTCTTACCTTTGGTGCTAGTACAGACTGAATTCTGTCAGTTAGGTTTGCAATATGGTCGTCACCAAGCTCTAGATGGCTGGCCAAAACGATGTACTCCGAATTGGTGTTAGAGACAGTCCTTAAGAAGCCGAAAACCTAGGTTTCGTGCTTCTTGGCACTCGTCGGCAAGGCACACTCCAGCTACCTCCTTTTTAAAGAAACTCATGTCCCCTCTGAGTTTCGTGTCCGCTTGATTTGGGGGTCTTTACTAATAAGCTATTCGGGCTCACGAATGACATCATGTGCGCGATGTGGTCGCTAAGCTATATGTCCATCACGATGCAATCTGAACTGATGTTAGTTGGTTGAAGTTGATTGTCAGGAAGCTGTGGATGTTTTGTTCACCTGTTGCGTAATTTGTTTATTTTGTTACTTGTCCCCAGGCTTTTTCGTTAACATTCAGTTTTTCGTATTACGCAACCTTTAGCCTAATCTTTGTAATTTTCACCGCTCTAGTTAATGTTTGATTAGTATTCACTGATGATACAGGATCGAGTTGCCTGGAGTTTTAGTGAGAAAGTCGTGATCAATGGAGGTCCATCATGTTGGGAGTGAGGACAAATACTCGTCAGGGATGATATTGATTAGTGCCAGTCGCGCTAACATCACGAATCGGTAGAAGTTAGAATTCATGGGTTGGCGACTGAGGTCTCGGGTCTCACTCAGTTGAATTGCTGCACTTTTGTGCAGAGTTCTGTGTTGAAACTCTCAGTCATTCAGGCATATGTTTAGATTTCAACACAGTGAAAATGTCATACACATATCTCCAATGTAACCTAGTGACTGACTGGTTTGTGAACAAGGAATTTTACCCAGGCGTGTAGCAGTTCGAGTTGCCACACTCCCTCCATATAGCACACAAAGCAAGAGAAGAGATTAAGGAGAGATTCTTCAAAAGGAACAGATAATAAACGGAAGTACGAGTCGGAGGAAAAGAATAGTAATATGAAGGAATAATGGAGTTTTATTGGATATGACTGGCAAATCACAATCAGTGAATGCATCAGCACTTTAATGAACGACGATTTTCAGCCATATCCCCAATTGTCTCCAGCCACCGTCATTGTTTCTTATCATCCCAAAGGTCCCAACCAGAAAGTCTACACCTCCCTACGTATCTGGCTGGCTGGCTTAAACTAACTGTTGTAGATCTCATTGACTGATAAAGCCAAGTTTTGGTTTGACCACCAGTGGCTCTTTTCCAGTCAATATTGCCCGTCGACGAGGGCAATCGCTAGACATCCGTAACACATATCCTAACCATCTCTCAAATGATATAACTTCACGACCTCGTCGACTAATTTCTCCTCCTTATCTAACACTCGACCGAAGCCTAACCTCAATATAACTACACGGTTGTTCCGCCGAAAAACTGAGAGATAGAATGTTGGTTAATCATTCTAATATAACCTAGTTGCCGGATTAAACACTCTAAGACATCAGGAGACCCCTACGTTCACAGCTATCCATAAATTTGTGAACAAGGATTCGGTGAATCACCTCCTCTCTCTTTTTTGGTGTTTTTAGCCTGCCACCCCCCTCTCTCCGCATTCTATAAGCCCAGCAGGTAAGAGAACTATGCAATTCTTGTATGTATGTTTGCCTGTCAAATGTCAAAGTGACTGCTCCGAACTAAATGGCTTTTTATCAGAAATCAGCCAACGGTCCAAGGAAAACTGGTCTAACCTTAAGTCCCTCAGAATGCCAAACAGTCAATTTCACCTTTAGGCACAAATCTGACCTAAGCAAACTGGTGGTTAGCACTCACGAGGTGTGCAACATAGATGATGGCACTGAAATAGAAACTAAGTCGAAAATTAAATATCTTGGCGTCATTCTATCTGCTAATCTTTCCTGGTCGTCTCATATCTTGATGATTTCTAAGAAAATATTCCGTCTTATCTTCTACATTAAGAAGTTAAGACATTCTGGAATAACCCAACCCTTACTTCTACGATTCGTTAACTCTTGCATCCTGTCTATTATTCTCTATTGTTCCCCTTTAGTTTTTCCAGGGTTACTGAAGAAAGACTATACCTTATTACGTAGGATGTTAAAGGTTGTCAGCAGGGTAAGCCACGGGGTGCAACTTAACCAGCTTGTTAATATTCTGGTTGACAGGCACATGGACTCATGTGAAAAATGTGTTAAATCCATTTTATCTACCTCACAGCACCCTCTCCATTCACAACTCTCCCCTTGTATCTCATCATTAGGCAGGACCAGAAGCCTTTATTTTGATTTTTTAGATTTTTTTGATTTCAGATTTACAGCTTGATTCCACACTATTTTTGGTACAAGTATGGAATTTTGAGCATGGATATCGGTAGCCCAAATTATTCAGGCCGACCATAGATATCAGGTGTGCGTCGGCAGGGGATCGAACCTCGGACCATGTGCATGGTCGGCGAGAGTCCTAACCACTATGCCACTATAGAAAACTATATACTCGCACTAGTAAGTACAAAAACTCAACCATACCCTACTTAGCTCGTGTTCTGTCCGACAAAGAAGAAAGCATTAGGCGTGAAACCTTTAACTTATTAAATAGTCAGTAGAACAGTTGGATCTCGTCTTTCCAACTCATATCATTTATAGGTACAACGTTTTAATTCTTTCTTCCTTACAAACTCTGTTTTAAACATTCGTCTTCGTTCTCTCGCACTCTGTATATCTCGACCTTTTTGTTACCGCTTACGCCAGTAAATATGCTAGTATCTATTTTTCTAAGACCTCCAAACATTCTGTTCAATTTTGGCTTTGCTACCGACATGCCAATATGTTGTTGTCAAAATTAACTGAAATTACCCTTAAACTATATAGAATTTTATTTATTTATTGTTAATGTACTACTAACTGGATGCAATACTGTAGTGAAATGCTGAGAATTCCATTCTGTATCACAAGTACTGTTTTAGAATAAAGCAAATTATTATTATTAATAAAAAAACAATGTTTACATCTGCTGTTCTTTTTGTTTGTCCTTTTCTCATTCCAGGGTTATTTATTCCTTGAAGTATTCTTCACCTTCTGCTTATCCATCGCTATCGCCTCGGCATTCGGTTTATTAATCTGGGATCAACGATATCTTGATGGTGCACTGAACGAGTCAGGTGCTAGTAGACGATCAAAAACTGCTGCAGAAATAGCTGATAATATAAGTCGTGCATCTTTGGAGCCAGTTATTGCATAATATATATATATATATTGTTTGTGATTATTACTATACCAATATATAATATGTGACATAATTTCTGACAATCCTTAATTCGTTTTCTCTGTGTGTTTATTTTTTGTGCTGTGAACCTGTTGATAAAAAGCTCCACAAATTGATTAATCGAGTTGATTATTTTCACACACTGTGATTATTATTATTACTATTACTATTATTATTCTCAATTTTAATCAATTGATCTATTTCACTAAGTAGATCAATTAATGCGTGTGTGGGGTAGTGTTTAATGTGTGTGTGCGCGTGTGTGCATGAACAACAGCTGACGAAAACACTAATATATACATATTAATGTTGACGACTTCTTTTATTATTATTATTATTATTGTTATTCCTTTTTTTTCTCCGGGAATGATTTTTCCCATCATTTTTTGTATTTTGTAAAAAGAAAGAAATTTACTCGAAAAGAACTCGAAACAAAACCAGATATTTCATGTCATCTTAACTAATTAAAATTTTAAAGTGATTTTATTAAACAATCCATTTGAGTACAGCTTTTTCTTTTTCTGTGGGTGTGTTTTGATTGTACTTTGAGATGTCAGTATTTAGTAGTGATGTGATATTGGGTTTGGTAGTCTCATGCCTCAGCTTTACCCCACCACACACACACACACTCAGTTTTCTGGGTTTTGGGGACTAGTTATTCAAGTAGGTTCACTGGAAGCATTTCCAATAGGCTGCTGCAAACTTTCAACAATATGCCTTCCCTTCATAGGCGCGGTGCTGTGGATCAGATGGTCGGCAGGGGGAGGGTATAAGCAACGAGGGGGAGGTCTAGTGGTCAAAAACCCACTTTTAAACAAAATGTAGAAAGATAATGGGGTGGAGATACGATGGGGAGACTATTGAGTGATACTGTAACGACGGAAGACAAGGGCCAGGCAACAGATCGTCGTGTATTGAGAAAACCAATAGATATTTATAGATTTTTTTATGTACATTATTATTAGCAGAGAGGTAGCATCTTCTGATTGGCTGCTAATCTGTCATCTCTTTGTAGGTCAGACCATATATCTGCGAATCGTATCCGCCCACTCTAGGTCTGCTGTGATTGGTTGTTGAGTTAGTCTTTGTTCTTGTTTTTTTTCTCATGACCAAGATTCGGGACGTAAACATTGATGTAAATTGGTGTCTACCAATTTTGGCTAGCAGACAGCTCTCACCACAATACCACACTCCAGATCGTCGAAGAGGAGGTCGTGCAAAGGGGAAATGACAGCTTATGAGCAGTCGTCGAGTCAGTTAAAAGTGATGAAAGATCCAATGTAGTGGAAATATGCCTCTGAAAATCTATGTTGTACTCGGAACATAAAGAATCAGGGATAATTGCTGCAGTTGTTTGAAGTAGCATTTTTCTGGTGTATTATAAAATGTGGATAGCTATTCAATCCGTAACACCTTGATATGCTGTTTCCGGACAGTCTTTAAGCTGGTGCCCAGTTAACTCTGGATGGATACGCCGTAGCTATTTTTTGGTCACATAGAGGTGGTATTTCTTTGTTCGTAATAAGAACAGCCAGTTGATGGCAACCAACTGTAAATAGCTTACTGCTTCAATTTCTAAATCTTATTCCCTCCATTTTTTCTGTCTCCCAGCCGCACCTTTGATTTCGTCCTATACACACATGTTAAAGTTTCGAGTTTACAGAAACCTGCACACAATCTCCTGAAGCTACACTCTAAAGTGCATTCTGACACTGTCTCTTTCTGTATTCTATACTAGAGTAATCAATAGGCCGCATCAGCGAAACCTCAAGAATCTCATGCCACAAAGGTATTTGAGACATACACGATAGTTCAAAGTGTAGTCATTTACTTAACCTCAATTTAACATGATACTAAGTACTCACATGTTCCGCATTTCGAAATAGCGGCTGTTTCCAGGTTGTCACCAATATAATCACTCTCCACATAGTGGTTTAGTTTATGTGAAGCCAATACCTTGCAACAAGTAGCTGTTTCTTGGGGGTGTGCAGGTTACTTATGTGCATAGTGTGGTGCCTACAATGCTCCAGTAAAGTATACATGGAAACCCTATCTATAAAAAAATATTTAATAAATGGTATATACAGTAAGAACTATGCTCTCAGTGTGGCATATTGTATGTTGAGACAAATAACTTTGTACTTTTTCTTGTGTGGTACTGGTCAATGCAGTATTTCAATTATTTCAATCTGTTTGTAATACAATCACTCATTATACATGTAGTGTTTTGTATCGTATCAAGGTGCACAAAGAGCAATTTAACCTTGTTTACATAGATTTGTTTATTCTCACTATTTGATTCTTTCGGTAATAATATTTGTAGTACACATCCTACTGTTAAAGACTTTGTTTTAATTTGAACTAATGTGAATTGGCTTTGACGTCATTTTACGCTCTACAGTTATGCTGTCAATATACACATTCCTTGAGTTTGTAATAAAGCCATATGTCAGCCAACTCTCAGTAACTGTCAATATCCAGTTCTTACTACGCCGGACGTCATGCTGTCCCTCGAAGACTTTCAGAAACACTTTGTATTAGCCAACGCGAAGACCAGAACACTGATTGATGACTCAAGAATCCGGTGACTCTAAAGAATAGCGGCCCAAACCGAAACGACCTTTTAACGCAAAAATGACCTTGACAGGGACAACTTCGGCCAATGAGAAGGCTCAAAAAGAAAGGCGCATAATTGTAAAAAACGGTTTATGTAGAAGTAATGCAATCATAATAAACAGTTACAAAGAATGGTGTTCGCGTATATGTTCCAAAAAACCTCCCAGTTTCTCAAGGGAGTCTTCATAGTCATATGAAACCAGTTTCGGTACATAAATTCATCCAGGTAACTGTGAATCATGGGATTTCTCGATCCATTAACCGCTCTTATACGTCTCCAGAAACTTTCAATGGAACTGGTGTGGGTTCCATCCAAAGGATTCCGGAAACCGTCCGTATGATTAACAACATGATGAATGTACCCATGATTCGATATTTGACGGTATCCGCTCCATTCATCCGTATGAATGGTCGTCCCCGGCAACACCAAACGCTTATTAATAGGCACTAATACTGCTGCACTGCGATTGGGAATCGCTTCCATATACCCTTTGCGCGGTGTCGTGTCGTAGATACCCAGTATCCACTGCTGGTTTGCTTGTAATCTCCCGCGGTTGTATTTCCTTTTTATAAGTACACTCTCATGAATATGGACTATGCTACCGACTCCCCCGAGAACTTGAGTCAGGGTGTTCATTTTCCAGGAGGAAACATCTCTGCAGTAGTTGTACCATTGCACTGCTGACACCTCTGAATTTTCTGTTTCATAAGCTGTAGCTGTGACTGCTCTTTTCAGGACCCAGAAGTTACAGATCATTAAAATTTTCGCCAAAGGTAGTTTAGAACTTGAGAGAAAAGTTCCTAAGGGATCTGTAAACTAAAAAACAACGACAAACCATCTCGAACCGATTTCCTCCTTCGGCACTCAATACATCTGTATACAAAGCCATCAATGGCCTCTGCTTATATTTGTATATGCATAACTCCTCCGCACTGGCAAATTTTCGACAAAGCTATGAGTCCGTTATCCAAACAGTAATCGAAAACATCCATGATTACTTCCGAAAATGATACAGTCAGCTGATTCCTTGCTCAAGGTCACTTTTTTGTTCGAAGGTCGTTTGGGTTTGGGCCGTTATTCTTTAGAGTCACCAAGAATCCTTCATTCTTACGCCAACATATAACCAACAATAAAGTTATTACACAAGGTCTAAGAACAAAGGTTATAACAATGAATCATGATAATACTTCTGACAGTTTTCTATCTTGCCCTGAACAGTGAACGATGAGACGATGATTGTTGGACTGATAACTCCCGCGGAAATCATGAAGGAGTTTGTTTTCAGCAAACAACCATGAATTGATCCTTCAATGTTCAGCTACATTGACACCATAGAATTTAAACAAGTTTGAGACCTTTTTCCTTGAGTACTTTTCACCTTATACTCAAATATTCTTTTTCAATTCCTATACATTCCCAATAAAACATAGGATTTCAAGCTAAGGACTTGAATTTTCGGTAGCAGTGGTGTTTATTGTTACAGGATGGAGTTGCTAGCCTCGTGTCCAACCTTCCCTATTCACCAGTCTTATTACTGGCTTAGTAAGGTGAAGGGGTGCGTCGGCCGAGGGTCGAATTCCGGATCTTGTGAGGGGTGGTCGGCTAGCATTCTACTGCTGTGCCACCGACGCACTCAAATATTCAGTGCACCAAAATACTTTTCCTTCCTAATTTCGATTTTGTCTTCAATATTTACACGTTGGCCAGAATACTGAATTAAGGGGTACATGGGTTAATTACGTTAAGTAAGGGTTGGTAAGGTGTAGCTTATCAATAGCATTACCTGTACTTTACGTATTTTTCATATCTTTAATATTGGTGGTGCGTCATTCCGGTTGTAAACGATTGGGTAGACTCGCTGAACCGAAATTACTACATCAATAATAGTGTGACAGTGTCTGTCGAATCAGAGAAAATCATCTCACGATGCAAATATCTTTTTTGATGTTCTACAGGCCTATTCATCATACGTCCTAGTTCACGGACCGGAGGTATTTTTAGCATTTCAATCAGCAGCACTGGAGGTATTTACAGTTCTGTAGGAGTGACGATGTCCCATTTTGATGAATCAAAAGTCAGTATTACCTTCCTATCTCACCTACGCTCATCGTGAGCGTAAACCTGGTTATTCCTGCAGAAACACACTGTTAGACTGGCTGCGATGACGACATGGTATGGTGGTAAGTAGATTTGGCGTCCATCGTCCCTCGGAAGGTTTATTTTTTCATTTCTACTGTTCTGTCAGTGTGCGACATGCAAAAGAGGACTGTTAAATGGCTTTAGGAGTAAACCACAGTTTTGAGCACAGCTTTCTTAAGAGTGCAGATGAATCTGTCTGTTCCTTAGACTAGGTGATGATAGGATATGTGGCAAACAGTTTATTTAGAAGGATTATTGAAGCAACAATTCAAAAAATAATTATCTTCAGATTGTAATACGAAAACCGGAGTTTGTGGACTGGAACGCCTTTCAGTGAATGCCTGATTCCACCAGATTCTTTGCAGCAGGCTTATGGACAGTTCTTAAGTAGCAGGTGCTTCAGTAGCACATCGATTATGCTCACTAACGGTAAAAAAGGTTGAGTTGAATCCAACACTTCCTGAGAGCAAACAAAACATCGCTATACCTTTGAGGGCAGACATATACCTAATCACCTCTCCTTTGGGGTGAGGTCACTGAATGATCACACTAGAGACAACACACAAATGCTTTGCGAACTGCGAGAATGCTGGTGTTTTGTTTTTGCCCACAAGCAGATTCTGGAGCACAAGCCGTATTCACTATTTTGTTTTCTTGAGGAAACAGTTTCTCTTAGTATGTCGGCCAGATAAGTACTGAATCCTACAAAGCCAATAAATGCCACAGTATGGTAGGGTCATTCTTAACATTTAGGCGGAGAAATAACCAGGTGCGTGCATATTATTCAGATTAATCAGCCTTTATTTGAAATCTGATTTACAAATATCCGTCAGTCAAACCACATTTTGCGAACACCAGCAATCCCCTAAAACCGTCAGGTGGTGGCACTCATCCAGAGCTGCCTTCATACCTATCGAGAAATCCCATGGAAAATTTTCTTGCTCAATTACAACTCTGGCGACTGCCTACGGTAAATCTGACTTCGTAGGTTCCAAATCATCACATTGCCTTTTAAATGTATCACTGCGAATCATGTTTCTTGAAACCAGTCCCAACCAAATAAATTTAGCTTGGAAAAATGCATGTGGTAAAACTCCGAAATGACAACGAAAAAATGAATTGATGAAAACACAACCTAAAAACGAAGGAAGAGCTTTAAACGGATAATTGCCAAGTTGATTTGCTCTCTCTCGAATGAATTAGTGTGGAATTCGGGATCTCGTAGTCATCTAGCGGTTCTTTAAGGACATTTGTCAATGTAGTTGAAGACTGAACGATCAATTCATGGTTGTTTGCTCAAAATCAACTTCCCCAATTTTCGCGGAGGCATCAATACGACAGTCATCGTCTCATCGGTCGCTGTTCACAAAGAAGTCAGAATAAAACTGTCAGAAACCTTAGTTGTAACATTGTTTATATGTTGGTGTTACAATAAAGAATCCTCGAGTCGCCAATTGGTGTTTTGGTTTTTGCGTCCGTTATTACTAAGCGTTTCTGAGAAACTTCGAGGAACAGCGTGAGCCCGAGTGCAGCAAGAGCTGGGCATTAACGGTTTACGAGACGTGGCTGACAGTTTCTGACAGTACAACGTCAGTTTTCAAACGGTTCTGGACAGTTGGCACGACTTTGGATAGTCACCGTTCATCTTTCCTGGTGCCGGTCAAGTCTTCTTTGAACAAGCAATATCTGGAACTTTCTTGGAATTGGGTCAAGTTCAACAATGCCTTGGTCAAAGAAGGGACAGAGCGTCTTGGATGCAAACAGGAAAGTAAGTCATGGTGACTTGTCTGTTAATTGTAACGATGTGTCTGATGTTAAGCATGACATGGTTGATGTTACTGTTTCGCCGTTCAGGGATAATAGGAACATCAAACTCCCTAAATTACAACCACGGTGTTTCGATGGAAACCCGGCTGATTATTTCGAATTTGTAAAGGAGTTTGAGATCATGCTGAATAGTTTTCTATTAAGTGATGAATTGAAGTTAATGTATTTGATGAGATATTGCACTGGAGATGCTGCAAGAGCTATACAGTGCTGTAAGTTTATGAAGCCGAAAGAGGGCTACTACGAGGCTATGAGCATATTACGTCAAAGGTTTGGAAGAACTTCGATGATTGTAGGGAAATTATTCGAGGCTGTTGAGGGTAATGGTGGTCAATTACAGGATGACTCCAAGAAACTCACTGAGTTTTTAGATAATTTGCTAATTTACAAGAATGGAATGATTTTGATGAATCGCATGAGTGACCTCAACTCCAGTTTTATACTAGAAGTAATAGCAAGACGCCTACCTACTCGACTGCAAAGGAAGTGGGTGAAGATAAGCTCCCGTATGGAGGATGAGGGTATCGAGCCGAAATTTGATGATATCCTGAAACTAGTAAAAGATAGCGTCAATCTATCTATGAGTAATTTCGCCAGTCTATTACATCTCACCCCTAGAATAGAGCAGTCTGAGAGCAAAATGCAATCATTGATGACGAGTAGGCCTCAGAGAGGTGGATATCGAGAAGGCTCCATGATGTATAGTAGTGCATATAGATCCAGTGAGTGTAACAGGTTTCGTAGTACATCCTCAACAGATAAGTTACAAGATGCAAGACAAACACGGTTGTGTTTTACACGTTTGCAAGAGGTGCATACAAAGGTGAACTGTGAACCAGTGAGCAAGTTCAGTGATAAGCCAAATGTAAACTCCAGGCCTGACTCCGAATTGTGTGATGATAACGGTGCGGTCAAGAAGTCTGTAGTTGCAACTGGTAAGCCATTGTTGAATAGAGTGTCACAGAGGAGAGTTACAGTCTCAGAGGACAGTTCCCACTCCACAAGTTTACAAGGTATTACTAGTCAGAGTGAAGACATAAAACCTCTAAGGATTTGCAAGGAGAGACCAAAATTGTCTACTTCTGTTATTAAAGAGTTTGAAAATGATGAAGTCGACCAGATAGATGATGGTAAATTGAATATTTGTGATAATGATCATGATAGTGCAGATTTGTCTTTGGTTGATCATGATGAAATGAGGGGAATGCCTACTACTGCTAAGTTAAATAAGGGTTCTGTACAGCTCAAAGGTGAAGTAAAAATAAATGCAGTTGCAGAAGGCATGCATACTTGTGAGACCGTCAGTTTAATTGATCAGCATGTAGCCCACCTATCATCAGATGCTAGTGCTAAATCGAAGCTGATAGTAAAAGACAACAGTGATAATCTTGCAGTTAGAGAATATTCTGAAAGCCGAGCAACAACAGCTTCTCATCCACCGCTAACTTCATCAACTGATATCAATCAGTCGTCGTTGGTGCTGTCATCCACAATGAAAAAGACGCCCATCAAATCAAGTATCTTGTGCAATGACTATGCTAGTATCAGTTCGTTTGAAAGGACGAATATCAATGGTCAGTTTAGTGAGGATAAGCCAAGTGTAAACGAGAGAGTAATTGTTAAATTGACTTGCACGAATAAAGGCATTTCTAGTTTCAAGTTACTATTTGAATGCTATAATCTTTGGTGTAAATTACTCTGTTTCTACACTTGGTTGATGAGATACGTCGTGTGTTTGTTCGTCAACTATATTCTACGATACAATGACATGAGCGTGTTACCGTTCAGATTTGAGGATATAGCTGACAGAAGGAAGTTAGCAAATGAACTCTGCGACAATTTTCCAACCTAGAGCGTCAACCTGAGAAGGGTTGTAGGCGTACTGCTGTAAGTCCTACAATTCTTCAAAGGGTAGCGCATCAATGCTCGGTGTGTGATTTTGTACATATGTTTATATTGCATATACTGAATTGATATCATCTTTCATCTATCTATTGGTAATTCTGTTTGTGTCCGGACGACTTCCACTTGGATCATCAACCTGAGAAGGAATGTAGGCGTACTGCTGTAAGTCTTACAGTTCTTCAAGGGTAGTTTGCCGTGCCAAAATCCACAACATTTGATGTGTTGATTGTACATATGTTTGTGTTAAATAATTGTGTGAGTTCCAATTGATGTAATTGTTGGTTAATCTTGTTTGTGTCCGTACATTCCACAAATTACAATCGTCAACCTGAGAAGGGTTGTAGGCGTACTGGTGTAAGTCCTGCAATTCTTCAAAGGAATTCCACCAAGACATGATCGGCGAGGTTGTTTGTACTATTTGTATATACGTGTGGTGTGTCATAGCAATTGGTGTATTTTGGATTCATTGTGTTTACTTGTTG